ACCCTATATACCTCCCTCTCTGTAAATGGGTTGGAATCTCATCTTCTGGCTCTTCATTTGTTTCCTTGCCAACATTGCCCTTCTCGCCTCCACTTTTTACCAGGTGTTGATCCTATCTGATTTGGAATATGATTATGTCAACCCGTTTGACGCTTTGTCTAGGATTAACTACTTCGTTGTTCCGGAGTTCTTTGGACAGGGAGCGTTGTGTGCTCTGTGCTCTCGAATTAACTATACAGTAGCACGCAACAGAAGAAAGTAACTGGAAGCAAAAAAGGAAAGTTTTTTTTGGATAAAAGGAAAGCTTTGGAGCAAAAATGGAAACGTGCAGAGGAAGGAAGGAAAGCGGGAGAAAAAGAACGTAAATGGAAAAAATTCAAATTTTTTATTTATAAAAACTATACCCAAGTCGGAGTCGTGTCAACACTGTGTAGGATCTGGGTCACGCCGTGTCCACCATGACTCGAATAGCCCCGCGACTTGTTTTTGGTCTAGGCAAAAAGGAGTCGGACACGCATCCTCAACGTGTCGTGGTGGTGTCAGTGTCAGACTCGCGTGCGACACTTTGACACGGATGAGGGAAGCCGTGTCGGTGCTTCACAACCCACCCTCCTCTTAATTATGCCATGCAATTTGGAGCCCACACATTTAAGCCCATGGACCCCACATGTCACACAACTGTATCCAACGTGAGTCACCCACACATGCCACAACACTTGCCCACAAAAATCATAAATGTAGCCCTAACTCTTTCCTCCCAATAATCCATGGCCCCAACTAGCTAACCCATTTCCAGTTCCCTAACAAAGGCTCAATCCAACTTTGTGGACAAAGTTTTTCTTGTAGTGGGAGGTATTGTTACTACACCTACAATCACAAGGCCCATTAAACGAAAGACACAAGCACCAACATGGATGAAGGACTATGTTTTAAATTAAAATTATGTTTTCTTTATAGACTCAATTTATTGAGCTAAATTATTGCAATCCTACCCAACAATATACGTATGACTCTTTACATTGGAGCTAGGGCAATGAGAAAAGTTTCTTTCAATTGTGTTGTCTTTCTAATTCCTCTTAAGTAATATCTTTCTTAGAGTAATAGTAGTCATCGCCTAACAATCAACCTAACGTTTTGGTTTCAAATGAGTAACAATTAAATTTGAAATATGCTGAAAATACACTAGAGGGGGGTTGGGTGTTTCAATAGAGTATTTAGAAAATTAGTGAATTTTGTTCATAGATAAATTGGATGATTTTGAATGAGTGTGAGAAAGCATCCAAGGATGTTGGGAAATTTTTGAAATGGATCGTCTAACAAGCTTTTTACAATATAACTTATCAAAAACAAACTAGTGTGCTTTGTATTCAGATGAAAATAGAAAATAAATAAGAAAGCGAAGTAAGAAGACTTAAGTTTGCACTGGTTCACTCAACTTGAGTTATGTTAAATTCTCCTCCATCAACTTGTGAAAGGTTCCACTAATCAAATTGATTGCAAACCAAGTATTATTTCCTACTACTTCTGGCTTATATTTTCTATCTCATTGCTAGCTCACTAGTATTCTCTATATGACACTTTTGACTTACACTAAAGATTCTCCCTAAATATTTAGAATAGAGATTCAGTAGCACTTAACAAAGTGAATATAAAACACTTAAGAACATAATACAAAGTATTTTCTTGTGGTGTGGCTATGTTATCCAATTACATAACCTTTTTTCTTGTATCACATGCTTTCTTGACAATAAAGACTATTTTGTTTTGTATTGTTTTTTAGTGCTCGTTGTTATTGTTCTTCAGCTTTATAAGGCTTCATGAAAGTATTCGTTACAGAATCGCTGCAATCTCTGATTGTGACTGCTAAAACAAATATTCTCATGATTTTCATCTCTTGGATAGTAGAGAGAGGCTGCAAATAGCTTTTATTTTGCCCAATATTCTGCTTTGTTAATTTCTAATTTGACGATATTTGTCATACACATCAAGAAAGGAGAAGGCAAAGCATATCTCTTGCATTATAGATCATATCTTTCCTTTTACGAGTAAGATACAAAATTTGGATGAGTGAAAGAGTCTTGAATAGATTAATCATTTTAAATCAAAATGTTAAAGATATTTATAGTGTTTTGGCATATTTCATGGAGAATAAATCATATCTTTCCTTTTATGTGTAAGATACTATATTTGGACTAGTGAAACAACAGTTAATAGATAAGTTTTTTTAGAACAAAACATGTAAAGATGTTCATTGTGTTTTGGCACTGGTTTTAATAATTACATTGGTTATTTAGTGTATCTTTTGGAAAACATGGAATGAAATGCTCTGTTGAAAGTTTCGCATCACTTGCCTCATGTCATTTAGTATGGTTTAAATACCTGTTAGGCTATTCCACATATTGCCAATTAGTTTTATGTTGAAACCTTAACATGGTATCAGAGTTAAAGCCTAACTTCTTTCCTGTTGTTGTCTTGGGTCAAAAGTTGTCCTTTTGTTGTGAGTCAAAAGTACTTTTTCCCTGGTCCGACAGACTTCATTGGAGGGGGCGTGTTGGAAGTCTCACATCGCATCATGTTATTTGGTATAGTTTAAATACCTGTTAAGCTATTCTACATATTGCCAATTAATTTTATATTGGAACCTTAATATGCTCCGATCTTTATTGGTCAGTGGTTGCCCCTTGAGTTCTTTCAGATTAAGCAGTCCGGCTAGCTTCTTTGTGGTGTTCTATGAAAGGCTTTTGTAGGAGGTATCTTGTGTTAGATCTTCAGACAGATTAACACGCTGTGTTGCAGGTTCCTTGTTCTTAGTGTTTTCTGCATTTTGGTTTGGTTCCTTTGGATTTGTTTTCTTAGCATTTATACCTTCCCTATCTTGATAAGTTTTTTGATTTATAAAAATTAGAAAAAGAACTATTTAACTCACAATTTTAACAGAAAATTTGGTTTTTTAATCTGATATACCATTGTTTTACCAATTATCCTCATGCATTTGAGAGAGGATACTTTTTCTTTCAATTCCTATTATTTTCTTAAAATAATTTGATCTGTAAATAAATTGTTTTATTATGCATTTTTGTAGATTAAAAGTGAAATTCAGTATTGATGGTTGCAGGTAAAGATTCGGAGGATCTACACTTTATACTTCTGACATTTTGATTGGTTTTGCATTGTTGAGACTGCTTTGGCTGGGTTAAACATAAGTCAAACAAAGTAAAGTTGGTTGGGAGGAGACATTAAGAGGATGAACACTTTATACTTCTAACATTTTAACTGGCTATGCATTATTGAGGCTGCTCCTAAGTTATTTTATATTGTTTTGATTATCTATATGAATATATAAAGTGGATTGATTACACACTTCGGGTTTTTCAAAACTTTTCTACATCTTTCCCATGCGGAGTGGTCCAAAAAATAGGAAATTATGAAGAAAAAACCTGCCACTGATAATATCATCGAATTCACCTATGACATTTCTCATAACTTTGTGATGATGATCATGTAATTTAAAATGAGTTTTTATTACATTTAAAAGCAGAATTTATAGGAAACATATATACTTCAAAGTGTCTGCATTACCATACCGTACTCTCCAACACCATTGATTACGTTTACCTTGTATTCTATTTTTTGTTTAGTTGGGTCAAAATTAGTATGATATCATGATTGGATAAATATTAGTCTTCTACACCACCCTCCTCCCCAAGGTCGGCACTCCTTCAAAATAAGTGCTCTACGTATATAAAATCATTGTTAATCTTAATCATAAAATAAAATAGGAAATAGTTTTGAAGCATAAATTTTCCTTTTCTGCTCTTTGGGTTAATTTGGCAGTGGTTGTTAGTTGTCAGCGTCACTGTAATTCTTGTAACATGGTTGATGATGATTCTCTCTTGCTTATGTTTCAGTACAATTATTTCATACGTAGTCATTGTATCAAATTCTAATGACAAACCAACCGTTTTCCACAAGGCTTCTTTTTTACCTTGGACCTTTTGTGTAACTGGTCTTTGAAAAAAATACTTGTTTAGGGTAACTTGTCACTTAGTTTGCAGTAATCATTTTCATTATTGTTAGAGCTCCTTTGACATGACCATATCCGCTACATCCGTTTACTTAGTTTCTATTTCTATATTATTTATCGCATTGTATAGTGGTCATCACTAGTTTGGTTGATGTGGATGCTATATCCGTAACTGGAGTGGGCTAAAAATGCATGACATAACTTTTCTTTCTTAACATTTTTTGGCGTACGAGAATGATGGATCATGAGTGGAAGGCTATTACTTTTGTCCATAAGTCAAATGTGGAGAGTTATATACATTGAATTGCAGACTTCCTTGGACCCACGAAAGGTACATGTCATCCCTGCTACTGTTTTCCTTGTTAGCTTGCTTTCTTTTCCATCATTTGAATTTTTTGTTTATTTATTTTACTTTTCGTGGTTAGGTCTTTTTCTTAAAACTGAAGTAATAGAATGAGTTCTAAAGTGTTGAACCTTTGATAATGATAGGAAAGCATTTCCACATAATGGTTAATTTGTCCACTGCAAGCCAACGGCCAAATATTATCGAGTTTATTTTACAACAACTTGGCATCTCTGTTAAAATCCTATTGCCTAAGTCAAATGTGATATGGATACCATACGTGAATCAATTAAAATTTTCAGAGTTCAACTTTAAACGATAGAATGTTCTTTTAAGTCTTTTTCAAATATCATTGTCTACCCAGTTCCAGTTGTACAATGAAAATGTATTGTGATGGCAAATCAATCATGCTTTTGAAGCACAAGTGTGGACTAAAGAAGAAAGACTCACTACTTAAATATTAGTAGTCAAAATCTATCTTGGTATCCAATGAACTTCGCCATTTGAGACCTGTAAGAATTAAATTTGAAATTTACTATATAGTTTTTCACTAGCAATGTTTACCTAGGTTTGGTTTTTACCCCTTCATTCTACTTCTACAGAAATCATTGTTATAAATATTATATTAGTTGGATGGAGCCATCAGCTCTCAGGTAAGCTTGGTGCATAATCAGTTTTTGCATAGTATCAGTAAAGTGGATTTAGTTGGTTTGACAAAAATCTACTTGGTGGAGTCCAACTTTAAATATGTCAATCAAATAATCATTTTCAATTGGCCAAATACATGATCTTCTTTCTAAGAAATTTTCCATTTTTAACAAGAAAAAATGCTATTCACACAACACATGCATTCACAATTCTTCTGAAATGTCAACTAGCTTAATCTAAATTCAGGTGGCCCCATCAAGGCTATGAACTTACTATTATACTCAGATGTAGGCCATGAGTATAGTGTACAATTGGGACTGCTGAAGTTGTCAATGTAGGTTTTTCTTCTTTTGCATTATGATTAATGATTGCATTTTGTTTATTTATCCAAACCAGATGTTTAGTGCTAGGAGGAAGAATATTCTACTTCCCATCTTTTGCTTATGTTCAAAATAAATACAATTTTAACTTTGCAGCTATGATATTGATCACAAGTTTTGTGCATAAATTTATAGTTCTTAATCAATTAAAACGTTTTCCCTTTGGTTCAGGTTCTAAAATGAGGTAAAAAACTAGACCAGTGATTCTTTAGTGTACCACTACCACAATGATTAACCCGTTGTTTTCTTCACACCCAAGTGATATCTCTATTGATTTTGCAAGGAGTTAAAGACATTGTGCTACAACATCTAATAACTACAGGTTAGTGAAGAGATTTGATATGACATGACATTTGAAATGAGCAATTTGATACACTAGGGAAAAAGACCTTTATGGGGTGGGGTGAAAGAATGTGATCATATAACAAATAGATATCATATTATAAAAAAGAATGGTGTAAGTTGTTTACTGTGGTGCTAGTTGAACAGGAGAAAAAGGGTTTGGGAATAAGATAAACCGTGAAAAGCGCTGAAAAAGACAAGTCGGAATACTTTTTTTTACCCAATGGCTAATATAGTTGACGCTGATTCATGATGTTGAAGTGTTCAATTTAATCTTTTGCAGTACTTTGGTTGATTATTGTGATTGCTACATGCTAATTGTCCTACTTGTTTTGTTTTCTGGTTCTAAAGTTTGTGGATACCCACCACAAACTTTAATTATGTCGTTATGTAATGCCCAAGTTGAACTTAGTTGCATGTCTAATTCTTTTTGGTTCTTTCTGAAAATCTTGTGTTAGGGGTTAAAGTTTTGTATGCATGGTAATTGAAAACCAATTTAATATTCAATACTTTCTTTTTCTTTCTGAAGTTTTTATGGAAAATTTTGTCTATGCTTATATATTTTTTAAACAAAAGACTTGTCAGAATTGATGGAAGATCAGAGGAAGAACTTAAGAGTGGAAATAGAATTATTAGCAGATAACTAGTTGAGAGCTTCAATCTACTCTAAGTGTATTTACTTTCATGGTTTTTAGTCTGGTCAATTTTTTAAGGATTATTTGATTTACTTTTTTTTTTTTTTTTAAAGCTTGACTTTTAAAAGCATGATTTGATTTGAAAGTTTATTTAAAGTTGATGGTAAGACTTTTTAAAGGTTGAAAATTGTTTTTAAATTAGTTAATGGGCCTAATTTTACCTGTAAATTCACCAATTTTCAAATCAAAAAATTATAATTTTAAATGATTATTTAACTATACTCTCCTTCACATTTTATCTTTGGCTCATTGTACACATTTTAAGGAATATGATAGATTATGTAATTTTATATCATGAAATACTCTTATCTAACTAAAATATTCTCAGTTCATAGATGATTGATTATCTGTACTGAATGGTCGAAACTAAACAAACAGAATGAATGTAGTAACCAAAGATTGGGTTTTGATCGAGAAAAAAAAATTGCTTGGACAATTTGTTTCTTGCAAGTTATTATTGAAAAAAAAAGTAATTAATATTTTCTATATTGAAATAAAAATACTTTAAAAGTGATGCAAAATGAATCGAAGAGCAATTTATTATTAGTAGTAGTATTAGTATTATTTAATTAAAGAAGTTAGTATATTAGTATTAGTATTCTTTTTTTCTTTTCTAAACACACCAACTTGTTTTTATCTAATTTCATTATTTCAAACCCACAATTAGAGTTTTTTTTCTTTTTTACTTAATTATTTACATGGATGTGTTTCAAATTAAAACATGACAATAAATTATTTAGAACGAAATTTTGACAAATATTAGAATTGCAGAAGGTGGAAGAAGGAGGATGACGCAACTCTATTATTTGGGGCATTCAAAATTTGTGGTACTCTTTAAATTTTTAAATTCATCTCAATCTCAAAACTCAAGACAATTCAAATCTCACTTTTCAATGAAATAATATTAAATTATTAGTAACATTAATGGTACAATAAAAGCAAAAATAAATGCCCTTCAGTGTCCATAGTATTTTTTCCATTATTATTATGATATACAAGCATGTGCATTAATATCATGTGTATTTATCTATCTTTGCATAGGGTGGTCCATGCCTTATTATAAATATTAATGTACACACCTTTTTTTTTTCTGTTTTTTATGTATATATACTATAAAGAAAGTCTCACACATGAGTTTATCCAATAATTTTATGATTATAAATAATTAATTAAGTAAATATACTTTATATTTGACCACGTGTGTCACTCAATGTGCATATATTACTTATTTAAAATTAAATTGAATTGGTTGGTTCAATAAAAATCAGCTCAAAAATAAATTTATTATTTTTAGTTAAATCAATTTTGATAAAAAATAATAGATCATAATTATTTAATTATATTTTTTATTTTAATTATTATTCATATTTTATTTATTAATATATTTTATATTTATAATATTTATTCTAATTTATAATGATTATAAATATATTATGTTATTAAATTTAATTAAATTTAGATTTTGAAACATTATATATATATATATATATATATATATATATACAAAATACTCTAATACAATACAGAGAGGAAGAGTAAAATATACTTATATTAGGTTTTAGACATTATTGACCACAATATTGTATGGGAATAAATAGTTTATTTTAAAGATGTGAAAAAAAAAATGGATATGCAATTTGAATGGAACTATTCATGTGTAAAATCTTTTCAAATATTTTATTTTGTTTGTTGTTTTTTTCTTGGTCCAGACAAAAAAAAAAAGGTTTGGTAGATACAATGTATCTATTCATGCTCCACGTTTCACTATCTTTGCAATAAATATTTTTCATATAGGACGTATCAATGTTCAGAAGTACTGTTATTAATTTTATTCCTCTTACATAAATAAAAATTAAATAAAAAAGAAACACTTATATTAACAAAATTATGAACAATTTGATTATTTAAAAAAAAAAGTTTGAGTGCAAAATTATAATAAAATTTGCATGTAAAGTTTGAAAATCGAATTTGAGTGATGGTCAGTGTGAACCAAATAATTGACCAAATGTGTTCATATTGTTGGCTTGCAATATACAACTTAATACTCTTTAAAAACATTATTCATTATTAAATATAGTCTTTAGGTTTAAAATAATTTTAATTAAATATAGTATTTATGTTTAAAATAATTTTTAAATTTAATTTTTTACAAAATTTTTAACTGGTTGATGCTTTTAAATTTTATTATATATTATTTTTTATTGTCAATTTTATCTAAAAAATAATTATGTAATTATATTCTCTATTTCAAAACATATAAGGTTTTGACGAGAACAAATATTTGTAAATATATTTTGTTCATAAATTTTAAGATTATATTAAATATTTTTTATTAATTATACTCTTCTCTTTTTAATTGTATTTATTAGAGAGAAAGTAATAAATTATTTAGAGAATAAAGAAAAATATTAAGATGATAAAAATATTAATAAAAATTTATTAAATATAATAAAATTTAATGTTTATGTTTATTTATGTAATTCAGCAGTAAGAGAATAACCTATAATGAAAATAATAAATTTGTTAATAAAATATTTTCTTAAAGCTAAATATATTAAATAATTATTGAAGCTTTTAATTAATGTAAACTTTAAGTTAGAGTTATTTTAGATCTTAGATAAAAATAAATATACAATAAATAAATAAATAAATATCATATTACCATAATGATTTGTTATTTTTAATTTTCTATAAAAAATTAATTATGTATTTATATATATTTTTTAAATATATAATAATTTGATGATAAAAATTTATATTCTTATCTTTTTAATCATGTTTATTATAAAAAAGAATAAATTAATATTAAGATGATAAAGATATTAATAAAAATTATTAAAAATAATAAAAATTAATGTTTCCAAATAGAAAAAAGAACCCATAACGAAAGTAATAAATTTATTAATAAGGTAATATTTGTAAAGTTATTTTGATATATGATATATTTATTGGAGTTTTTAATCTATGTAAAAGACTTGATGTTAGAGTTGTTTTAGAAGTATTCAAAAATTTATTCAAATCTACAAATCTACGAGTGAAACTCGATAAGAAATTTTGTTTTTACGAAATTTAATAATTGGAGTAAAATAAATTAAGTCTTAAAAATGTTTTAAAGAATATTTAACTATAATTTTTTTTAAATGTTGCTGAGAAAAGAAGCGACAATATTTTTAAAAGCATTGATTAGAAAAAATAATCAACAATATTTTAATAAGAATTATGGTAAAATACAGTACAACTAGTACACTAAAAACATATTGTTAATATTTTGATAAAAAAGACACTTTAATTGTTTTATTTTCTAAGCATTTATTTGACACTTTTGAAACATAAAAAATGATTATTTTTTAAAATCAAATAATACTTTTCATATAGATCTTCCTAAATGCAGACATTTGGCAAATTGTAAACAAAAGAAAAGAAAAAAACTTTTATTTTTTTATTAGGATTTACATAGTTTAGAAATTAAGGCTACATAGAATTTATACACATATTTTATCCAAAATATTTTTAAAATTAAAATCATGATGAAATCAGATACAAATTTAAAAGTAGATAATGTTTCAAGTAGGATAATTAGTTTTAACAGAGTATAATTTTAATATTTTTTTTGAGATAAAAAATAAAATCACTTCTATCCTTAATTCTTGATAAAAACGTATTATTGTACATATAAAAATTTTACTTAACGACATTTTCATATTTTATTTCAAATTAAATACCTTCTGAAAATACAACAATACCAAAATTAAATGTAAATTCCAAAACAAAATAAATATAACTATTTATAGTAAAAATATTATATTTAACAAAATTGAATTCAAAATCATGTATAATCATAAAACTACATCTACTTTTCATATTTAACAAAATTGAATTAAAAAAAATTATTTATTTGCATTGAACAATCTAAAATCACAACATTTTTATTTATTTTTTTAATTTTTTTTTCTTCTGCTTTATTTTCAAACAAACAATTGATTAAAACTACTATTTTTGCAAGTACGACAAAACATTAAATTTTTTTACGCCGAAAGAGAATTTACGAATCAACTTTTTTTTTATTCGTGTGTGTCTGTGTGTACCACTACAAGCTTCATTTTTTAAATTCAACTATAATTTTACATGAAATTATTAATTTGTCACGTCGTAGCCGATTTTTTGGACTTGAAATTCGCCACGCGATATTAGTGGATCAAGTTCTTCTCGCCGAAACATTTATTATGTACACGTCACTTCATGAGATTTACTACTATTTCTTTTCGAAATAAAAAAAAAAAACAAAACAAAACATTGATTTAATTAATTTTACAGAGTTTTCTGACCACCTTTTTTCTTGTTCCTCACCACGTACGAGGTTTGTTTTCTAACTAGATTTTTTGTTGGATATTTGTCACGTAATCACATTCTAAGCCGATTTTATGGACTTGGAACTTGTATATATGAGATTAAAAGTGGATTAAGTTAATTTAATTTTTATGATTAAATTTAGTAGGTTCTTGGACTTATATAGGAGCTTAGGGAGAGAAGACGAAAGAGGTAGCATATGATGAATGAGAATGATAGTTAGGGCTACTCATCTAACCTAAAAAAGATTATATGATTCTAGAAAAAGAAAGGTTTTGAAAGCATGTTTACAAAAATAATGAGCCGAAAGGTTTAGATGACGAGGCTAAGATATTAACAAAAAGTAAAATATTATTCCATTTTTGTTTTTCTCTTCGTATAAAAAGTATTCTATATTTGAGAAGAGAAGAATATTGTGGTTGATTGTGTTTGGCTTATTGGTTATTAATTTTCTAAGTAATGTTCCATTTCTCACTCAATAATTCTAAAATCTTATCCTAAAACAAACTCTACTCTACTCTTCATTTAATTCGTGAATGGATGATGATATTGAATTAATTTATATTATATAAAATGTTTATGAAAACCGTCGACGATAAAAAAATTAATTATTTTGTTGATTTTATAATAATTTTCCTCTTCATTTTCTTTCTTGATGGGGATAAAAAGAAAAGAACGGGACTATAACTACGTTCGTCATATGTCTTCCAGTAGTGAATCATGACCCTTAAAATAACCAAAATTAGGTTAATTACTTAAGTTTTAGTATTTCTAATTTAGCCTCTTCATCAAATTAGAAATTATTCTATGGTCTCTACACAATTTTATTTTCATGACATATGTCTTTAGTCAAAACTTTAATTTATTTATATCAATTTATTATTTGATTTAATAAATAATGTACTCTAACACATTTAAATATGTATCATATATATACATGACCCAATATTTGCTAACGAGTATAAAATTTATTACCATTGTCATTATATAAATTTAAAATTTTCATTTGATATCTTTTTTTAAATTATACGATATATATACGCATTTTGTTTTAACATGATGAAAAAAAAGAGTCTGTCTACCGTATTTGGCCCGTCCCAATCATAAGTCTAGAAAAAACGAATTGATAATGAGAGTTTGTTAATTTTTTTATATATTTTTTTTAAATATATTTTTAATTATATGATTAATTTTAAGTTTTTATTCATTAATTAATATTTTTATTAGAATCTAATTGGTTAATATTTATAATTTAAATTATAACATGATAATATAATATCATAAAAAATTATAATATTATTATTTATAATTATTTTTATTTTTATTTTAATATATAAATATTTTGTATGATCGGACCATCAAATTAGTTTGTCGGTCCCACTCATTGTCGTCAGGTTTAATTTTAAAATAAAATAGTACATCAACCTACTAAATCTAATTCATTTTATTATTTTTATTTAAATAATTAATCAAATCAAATATTATTTTATCAATTTTTTTTTCAACAAACACAATTTTCAAAACTAGGAAAAGAGTAAAATTTGATTATACGCTGTTGATCTTAAAAAAAAAAACATATTAATCGAATCGAGTTAAATTAATTATTCAAATATTATTTTCTTGAACATATGTACTCCACTAATGTGCTAAATTGGATTAAGCTAGATTTATGTGTCCAAACAAATTGAAATTTTTTTTTGGTAATTAATCACAAACAATTATGCTAGAGAATAAAATGTCAAAACAAAAAAGTGAAAATGTATGAAAAAACCTAAACCCAAAAATGAGCACGTGCATTTTGAGTGTGAAAACGTGACAAAAGAATGGAGAAGCCTTGCACATGTGGCTAAACACAAAGGAAAGTAAAACATCTTCAACTCCAACAAACAATATCATAATCATACCACGAATCGTTAAACGTGGCAACTTTTTGAGGGGTGAAGTTCTAAAATCAAACTTGGTCTTTGTGCCATGAAGCTCTTGAAGGACCCATGCATGCATAATTACCTCATCATGCTCCACATCCATGGAAATACCTTCAACCTTATGAACCAAACCCTAATGTGCATCTTCATTTCCCCATTGCCATGATTCTTTTGTATGCTTAGTTGCTCGTAACTCAAAGCAAATCCCACCGTTTTCTTTTCCCTTTTTCTTTTTCTAGACAACTTTAATTTGTTCGTGCTACATGTTTCATCTTCACTACTCAAACTACGTTTAGTTTCCCATTCACATTGCTTTTCACTTTTAAATTATCAACTTTATATCTTAGTAGATTAAGTTGTTTCTGTTTTATTATTATAATAATCACATGCTTAGTTCAGTTTTGTTTAAACAACTACTTAATAATTATCTATTCTACTTAAATTAAATCAAATACACATTATGTAAACACGCACTAAACAAGTTGATAAAAATAAAATGACTATATATATATACCACCTGTGTATTAAATAATGAAAAAGCCTTTACTTTTGAGAATGTATATTATTTTTATACAACAATGACACTGAGGTTTAAACCTAGAACCTCATGTGAACTATTTAAACATATTTGTATTAAGTTGAATATAATACCTATTTATACTATTTTTTTAATTTTTTTTGTTACACTTAAACGTCCAAATTGATTATAATACCTTTTTATTCTTATCATGCCACGTAAGTGTGAATCTCATTTGTAAATTCCAAACCTAATTTGAATCAATATATTTAAGATATTGTTCAAATTTATTTTTATCATTTTTTTTTTATAAAATGAAAGGTAAGTAGTGTAAGAAAAGAAACAAATAAAAGATATTTCATGTTATTTAATAAAAAAAATAAAAAAATCTCACTTTCTATTAAATTTTACATATTTTACTTTTCATTGAGAAGAAAATTAAGAAAAAAAAATAGTGAAAAATGCAAGCAAAATTATTTTTGAAAATCATCATTTTATGGTCTGGATCCAAAAAACTTGAATCACTTTATATATAATGGTATAATTATTTAATTTGATTAATTAATTAATTAATTTTAAAATGGAAAATTTCTTTTATTTTTCATGCATTTTTCATTTTTTTTCTTATTCCTCACTTTCTTTACTCACAATAAAATATTATTATAAGTTATTTTTAATCTCAAGTTTAAAGCAATAGAGATTTTTAGGTATATAGGAACAAAGTGTATTTTCTCTTGAATCCCAAAACATGGAAAAAAAAACTGGCAGCACTGAGTGCACATTGCAATTATTACAAGTGAGACAATAGCAAACAATTATTAAGTAGTAGTGTTGAAAAATTCAGTTGGATTGTGGTGTTGAAACTTAAGAGAATATAGAATGAAAGAAAGATGTTGGATAAAGAGGAAGGAGGAGAATGTTTCTTTTTGGAAAGTGGTACTACACAACACACTTCAAAGGGTATATATCACAAAGATTTTCTAATTATTCTCAGGACTCGAAGCGTGACTGCAGAACAAGAAAGCAAAAGAATTACACATGCATGCTTCTCATAACTTGTCATTTGTTCTCGCGTGCTACTGGTTTCACTGCACACTCACGTACCAACACTTTCTTTCTTTTTTTCATGGTTGAATATACAATCATTAGATTGAGACCCTATATTGTGTCGCAAGTATCCTTGTTTTCTTCTCTGTGTTTAATGGAGAGAATATTATAGATTTTTCACAAATATGTACTTGGCTGCAGAGAATACAACTTTGATGCTACGTATCTTTCAATCCAACGTTTTATAGCTTCGGATCCATTCTGGATTTGAGGAATCAATTTGAAAAGCATGTTCGATAAAACCATTTTTCTTGTAATTAAAGAGAACCTATGTCATGCTTCATATGCTACGTACTGCTACTCTTGGATTTTTGTTCCTACCATTTTTATCATACAAGGATTTCGTTAATAGATTACGAGATGATTATAAATAAAAAAATATAATATCAATGTGAAATTTTATTATATTTTTTTACGAGAACAAATTTTCATTAGAAAATTTTGCGAAATGCTTTATTAGACTCTTTTAGGTGAATTTTTCATTAATAAAATTTTAATTTATGGTTAAATTTTTATATATAAAATCAATTTTATAGACATTATTTTAATATATCAAATATATTATATTTTTCCATTAAAAATATCCTCAATCTAATAAGAAATTCATCCTTTTGGATAAATAAAAATAAGAAATACTAAAATGAGTTTTATCTTTTTCAACAAAATCTTGTCTATTCACCCACTAAAAAATCGAATCTAAAACTATATCGAACTGATACTTTAGTATAAGATTTGTCTTTTTTTTTTCCTTTTATGGAAGGAATATTAAATTATTCGGTATAAATATTAAAACATATATGTATTAATATTAATTAATTTAATCTCTTAAATATCTCTCTTATATTATCCTTAACCTAAGTATTGAATACTTCATTATTTATTAACTTCCATGGATTAATTGCAGTAATTTTTATACTATAAGGTTTTTTGTGTATAATTTCTAATACTTGTAGAGATCATAAACCACGTAATCGTATGAAATTTCTTGACCTTGGATCAAACCATTTTTTTTTAAACTTATTCCACACTTTTTTATTTTTATTTATGAATTAAAATTCCTACTTTATTATAGTTATGATTAAAGATGATAAAAATATTTCGAAAACCCCTGTCTTGTATTGAATATGATAGCACAATATATACATGAAATACGTAAACATTCTAGGCTATAATTACGCTAACCATTATAGTCGGTATCCTAAATTTGTCTATTAACGAGATATGACATTAATGTGCATCATCGTGCATCATTGTCATGCCAAGCTAAATATGGAAAAAAATAATCATGTAGAATCATGGCATGATACGGTATTTGTAATCGTATATTCTATGTTTATCACCCTCCCTCAAGATGGAGTATGAAGGTTATGAATGCCCAACTTGCCTAAAAAAGAACCAAATTTAGTGGCGCCAAGAGATTTGGTGAAGAGATCAACTGATTGATGATGAGTGAACACATAGGAGGGTTGGATATGATTGTGTTGTATTTCATCACGAATAAGATGACAATCCACTTCAATATGTTTTGTCCGTTCATGAAACACAAGATTCTTGGCAATGTGAAGGGCGACTTGGTTGTCACGATAGAGAGTCATAGGATCGGTGTGAGTAATGCCTAGGCTCGAAAGAAGGCCTTGAAGCCATTTCAACTCACATGTCGTGTTGGCCATAGAACGATATTCCGCCTCAGCGGATGATCGAGAAACCGTATGTTGCTTCTTGGTTTTCCAGGAAACGGGGATTGACCAAGGAAAATAAACCAACCGGTGAGAGATCTTCGAGTGAGAGGACAACTTGCCCGATCCGAGTCACACCAACCATAAAGACGAAGGTCACTCTCTCTTTTTAAAAGCACACCACGACCCGGCTGCCCTTTAAATAGCGTACCACGCGGAGTGCAGCCCGCCAATGCTCCTGACGCGGTTGGTGCATGAATTGAGATAGGACATGAACACCGTAAGATAATTCAGGTCGTGTAAAACACAAGTAAATAAGGCGACCAGACGAGACGTCGATATTGACTCGGGTCGGAAAGTAGTTCGCCATCGCCCAATGCTAAACGATGATTTTCTTCGATTGGCGTGGACACGAGTTTCCCTCCAAGCAATCCCGCTTCAGCCTATGATGTCCAACGCATACTTCCGTTGACACAAGAAAATTCCTGTAGGAGATCCGACAACCTCCACCCCAAGAAAGTATTTTAATTTCCCTAAGTCCTTCATACGAAAACATTGATGAAGATAATCTTTGAATTGCGCAATGTCTTCATGATGATTGCCAGCAATGACTAGGTCATCCACGTAAACTAACACAACCAGTTCGACATCTCCTTTGCGAAAGATGAACAAGGAGTGATCGGACGAAGAACGTTGAAACCCATATTGAACAAGAGCGGTTGAGAGCTTGGCAAACCAACACCGAGGAGCTTGACGAAGACCATAAAGGGACTTGCGGAGACGACACACCATACCCTTTTGAGACACCAAGAACCTCGGCGGCATTTTCATGTACACATCTTCCTCAAGATCGCCGTGCGAGAAAGCATTATGGACATCCATTTGATGGAGTTCCCAGTCTTTGGCTACGCTCACCTGCCAACACCTGTCCGAATGGTGACCATCTTTGCCACTGGGGCAAAGGTCTCGTCATAGTCAATCCCCTCAACTTCGTGATTTACCAAGACAACTAATCGGGCTTTGAAGCGTTCAACGCTCCCATCAGAATGATATTTGATTTTATACATCCACTTGCAACCCCGAGGCTTCTTCCCTGCCGGTAGAGGAGTAATGTCCCATGTTTCATTACTATGGAGGGCCTGAATTTCACTAGCCATGGCATCTCTCCATCTAACATCCCGAACAGCTTCAAAGAAATGCACGGGTTCTCTCTCGCATGAAGGGCTGCAAGAAAGGTTCGGTGGGGGAAGGAGAATTTAGCACAATTTAAGTACTTTGTCAAACCGTAAGGCATACCCGAGGAAGCTCGAATGTGGAGTGCGAATTGAGGGACCGAGTTGTAAAGTGGTGTTAGTGACATAATCACGAAGCTTCACGAGATGGCTTTCGTACACGAAGACCTTTCCCCGGGGATGCGGGACGAGTATGCTCCTCGGGAACCTCTAGTTCTGTCATCATAGAGTCGGCTTGTTCCGGTGGGAGAACGATCCGGGTGGGAGGCTCTTGTTCATGGCATTCAGCGTGGCCCTCCCCGAACTCGGTTGTGGGCACATCTTCGTTGTGGGGTTAACGTCATCGGTCTCCACAACGTGTTCCGCATTGTTCATTGCACCAAGTCCAGGCAATGCTTCCTCGACAATGCCAACATCAACAGTAGGCAATCCTACCTCCGAATGTCTACTGTGGGCAAGAGAGGCAAACGGGAATTCATGTTCTACAAACTTAACATCTCTCGAAGTCCAGAAGACTTCTCTTTCCAGATCAAACAATTTCCAGCCCTTTTTTTCGATTGAATATCCAACAAATACATTCTTGCGACTTCTACTTGCAAATTTGTCACCTTTCCTATCTTGGTTATGTGCATAACACAAGCATCCAAATACCCGTAGATGGTCATAAGTGGGTGGCTTCCCATTCAATATTTCATATGGAGTTTTTCCATGGAGAACGGTTGAGGGTGTACGATTGATCAAGTATCCTGCGGTCAAAATGCATTCTCCCAGAATTGAAGTGGAAGTTCTCCCTGAAATCGTAGAGCACGAGCTACATTTAGGATGTGTCGATGTTTTCGTTCGGCTCTCCCATTTTGCTGAGGTGTTCCAGTGCATGAGGTTTGATGGAGTATCCCATGTTGCTGAAAATATCGTTGAAGACACATAAACTCAGTTCCATTGTCACTTCGTAATATTTTGAATTGTTTCTCGTATTGTCGTTCTATCAAGGCGATGAAATGCATTAAGGTTTGTGACACATCTTTCTTATTATTCAAGAGATATATCCACACAGCTCGAGAACAGTCATCAACCAAAGTGAGAAAGTAAGATGCACCACAAGACGAGGGAGTTCTATATGGACCCCATAAATCACAATGTATTAAATCAAATATATTGGATGCTTGAAAATCACTTAAAGGAAATGTGTTTCTACATTGCTTTGATCTCTCACACACTTCACACACACGAATTGTATCCGTATTTCTATTCACGCTGTTCAGATGCGGAATTTTTCTAACAATCTGGTAGGCAGGATGTCCCATTCGCTTGTGCCAAATCTCCAGTTGATTTTCTGTATTGGTTTGATACGCCTTTATGCCACTCACACCATGATACCAATAGAGTCCCTCTTTTCGTTCACCCGCTCCAATCAGCATCCTCGAAGTGTGGTCCCGCATTGCACAAAATCTATCGAGTAAATGTACTCGTACATTTTACTTCATTCGATCAATTGTGATACTGAAATCAAATTGCAATTCAATTTCGAACATATAGAACATGTTTAAGTTTCGAGTCCTCCATCAAGGAAAACCGATCCTTCTTTGTTTGCCGGCACCAATTCACCATTTGGTAGTCCCACTGGGCACCCTTCCAAGGCTCGACTCTCCCTCAAGTTTTCTAGTGTCCCTGTCATATGATTAGAGGCGCCACTATCAATAATCCACAAGTCACATGCTTTCTTACCAGTCATCTTTTCAGTTTCATTTGCCTTGCGAGAATTCAACATTGCTTGTCAAGATCTGCCATTGCTCATTACTCGATCCTGCGACATCCGGTTTTTCGGTTGAACCAACGTTATCCGCACCGAGTGTGCGCCATATTGACGCGAGCCGTTCCTCCTTTTCCTCGGAAGGTTCCTGTTCTTTGTTGATTTTTTTCATCGTTTCTATCGGTTCGTGGTCTCTCTCCCCACCATTCCGGGTAACCAATGATCTTGAAGCAATTGTCTTTGTCATGTCCCTTCCTTCCACACTGCATGCAAACAACTGATTTTTCTTT